ACCAGAGTCCAACAAAAGGTTCCAACCAGGATGAAGAACATCCTGCTGCCGGGTCAGCTGGTACCAGCAGGTTCTTCTGGAGTCTTTCACTCTTTGAGGCAAAGTTACAGAAAGCAGAACGTTCTGTCTGAACTCTGGGTTCTGTCTGAGGTTCTGCTGCTGGCAGCTCACAGGTGAATCTGATCAACAGTCGTCACCTGTCAGGTGGTACCAGCAGTGGTTCTGAATCTGGACATTAACATGAAACATCTGCTGGTGTTCACGTGTTCAGCTGCATGGAGACCGACTTTGTGAGTGTAACCGTGGAGAACTTCCACAGTAAAGCTGAGGTTCTAACACCTGTGCAGGTACCGGGCCGTGGCGTCCTGGTCCCGGATCCAGGGGACGGGCGTCCCCATGGTAACGGCGGTGGAGATCGTAGTGATCTGGCTGCTGTCGGTGGTTCTGGCCGTTCCAGAGGCCGTCGGCTTCGACATGGTGACCTTCGACTACAAGAACGCCACCATGAGAACCTGCATGCTGCAGCCCAGAACGCCCTTCATGACCGTGAGTCAGAACTCTGCTAGGACTTGAGGAGGACGGGTTCTGATGGACCCAGCCTTCACAGCGTGAACTTAACGACAGGTCAGATGTTTGTTAGATGATCCAGAGTAAAGACGTCCGGAACCGACTAGAGGTAGACCAGCTGGAGCACCCAGGTTCTTCAGCTTCCTGTTTGTGTCTCTGCTGGAGTAGATGTGGTTCTGAAGGAGGTTCCGTCCTACAGTCCGGTTCTACTGCGTTCACAGACGTTACAGTTTAATGGTCCAGATAACAAGCAATAATCAGTACCGGCTGAGCTGATCACGTCTCTGTGTTCTGGTGCAGTTCTACCGGGACGCCAAGGACTGGTGGCTGTTTGGGTTCTACTTCTGCGTGCCTCTGGCCTGCTCGGCGCTGTTCTACGGCCTGATGACCTGCGAGATGCTGCGGCACCAGAAGGGCAGCCTGAGGATCTCTCTGAGCGAACACCTGAAGCAGGTGAGACTAGACCCGAGAACAGCAGCGTCACCAGAACAGAGAACGGGTTTGTGAGGTTCTGTTTGTGTTGCAGCGCCGAGAAGTGGCCAAGGCGGTGTTCTGCCTGGTTCTGATCTTCGCTCTGTGCTGGTTCCCGCTCCACCTGAGCCGGCTGCTGAAGAGGACGGTGTACAGGTCCAACGACGCTCATCGCTGCGAGCTGCTCAAGTAGGTTCTGCAGGAAACCTGTGAGTCGGGCCGGACGGCGCCACACTCGGTATTTGTCTGTCTGCTTAGTTCTGACCAGCTTTAGTAACTTTACAGTTTATTCTCGCTGAGCTCATTGTACTGGCCGCTGCAGAACAGAACCCAGACAGAACCCAGACAGAACTCAGAACAGAGCTCAGAACAGAACTCAGAACAGAACTCAGACAGAACTCAGACAGAACCCAGACAGAACTCAGACAGAACTCAGAACA